ACATTTATTCCGTCATGCAACGCTGTACTGAAATTAACATTTATACCTTTTTTGGGGGCACAGATAGAGCTTTCTTTTGGCGGTATTTAACCACCACTGGGGTGTTAGGTTTTTTTCATTATATAGTTTTAAAAAAACAAATTTTCCCTACTTTTTGTTATAATTAATTTACCATTATCCAATTTTTGGGTGAAATATTAAAGACGGGGTCACGTCGGGTAAATAGACACCAAACATGTTGAACCTCAAAATTAAATGCGCCCGCAAAATCGCAAAAAAAACCTACCATGCCTAAAAATTGGCCATAGGCGACGCTTTAAAAGCTTTTAGCGCTCATCAATTTAGTGCCATCAGTGATTTAATGACCCTAAAATTGTGTGGCATAATCGTTGTTTTCGCACGTAGGCGCACCCGACACGTATTTACGTTTATATGTGCATTCACATGGGGACTTATTTTTTTTTTCTTTAATATATATACATATATATATTATATTATTATTTTTTTTACACTTAAAACAGGTCCTCTTTATGCTATCATATTTCCGTGTAACTAGGAATCATGCGCTAGTGCGCATGCGCACACAGCGGACGTACACGCGCCAACGGTCACACAGGAAATGATGCTCTTCCCTCTAATAGATTGGCCTATTTAAACCAGCCTGCCATATCCTTAGTTGCTGGATGATCTTCAACTAGTTCCCTGTCTTTCTGTACTTCTGCTGATTTCCTGTTTCCTGTTTATATTATTATATTTTTTACACTTAAAACAGGTCCTCTTTTATGATATCACATAGGGGACTAATAAGCCCCCCATGTGATGGCTAATATATGATATATATAACGCCTAATGTCACCTTGGGACCCCCAAAGAAGCTGATGAAGCACAGATCTGTAGAGCCCGCCGAACGCTTGCATGTAACAGCTGTGTAGATTCCCAGCAGAATCCTGCTTGCGCCCGCATGAAAAAAATCACGTAAATGTACATCTACCCGCTGGAAAGCATCCACCCATATTTTTACTATGGGCGGACGGCAACTGGTTAAGCTACATAGTTCCATAGTATGTCATGTTGAAAAAAGACACAAGTCCATCAAGTTCAACCTATAGAGATATGAGAAAAAGGTAACCTTAGTATTATTTTACCAAAGAGTGGAAACAAATTTAGCAATGCTTGGGATGAACATAGTCAGGTACAAAGAGGGGGGGGAAAAACAATTGGTAGATTTGATGGGCCACTTGGTCATTCTGCGGTCACGTTTGTGTCACTTGGTAAAAATAAAGGGAGTGAGGGAGCACCTACTTATTCAAACCAACTCAGCCACCATATCCGTACATACTGCATATAGAATACAAATGCCTCAATTTACTAAACTATAACGGTAGTTTCAGCACCATGCATAAAAATTTTGGTAAAAAATTATTAATTTACAAGTTTTAGAGCATTGGCCGCAATTTAACACGCTTTGTAGTGCTTTTTTTTAAAAATTATTACTAGTCGGGATTTATATAGAGCCACCAATTTGCGCAGCGCTTTACAAAATGGAAGACAGTACAGTTACAATACAATTTCAGTACAGTAGGGTGCGGAGGGCCCTGCTCATGAGAGCCTACAATCTAGTAGGAGGGGCAAGTGATACAAAAGGTCATCATTGTTTAGATTGAGTTATTGGAAGAAGTAAAAGGGGAGTGATGTTGAGGTGGGATTGGCTACTCTGAATAAAAGGGCTTTTAAGGATCGCCTAAAGGTGGGCAGCGTAGGAGATGAGCGGACAGATTGGGGTAGGGCGTTCCAAAGGATGGTGGACACTCTGGAGAAGTCCTGCAGGTGAGCATGGGAGGAACTCATTAGAGAGCAGGAGGTCTTGAGAGGACGGTTTGGGTGATTTTTTTTGAGATGAGGTCGGTGATGTAGGTTTGGTGCGGCGTTGTAGATGGCTCTGTACGTTGTTAGTATTTTGAATTTTATTAGTTGGGCAATTGGGAGCCAGTGGAGGGATTGGATAGCGCTTTGCAAAAGTATTCACCCCCTGGGACTTTTCTACATTTTGTAGAGTTGCAACTTGGAGTTTAAATGTATTTAATTGAGATTTGTGTTTGTTTTATACATTATATCTACAGCTGACTTCCCTTCAGTCTTGCTCAGTTGTACCGGTTCCTCCCGTGGACTCAAATAGCTTCCTCTGATTACACTGCGGCCGTCTCGCAATGTGCATTAGAAGCTGCAGGCCGTCAGATAGAACCCGCCTCATTTCCTGGCTGGAGGACATCCAGCGTCATCTGTTTTCCTACCCAGCATGACTGTCCCTGGCCCACCCCTTTCATTCATTGGGTTTTAGTTTTTTGAACCATGGAGGCTCAGCATCACATGTGGGTGGTCTGTAGAGAGGTCTGCGTGCAAATTCAGCCTGCCTAGGAACATCCACACTGACACCCATCAAGGTATTATGATATTTGCATAACTCCCCCAAAGAGCCGTCCCACTGCTTGCATCAGGGTTGAGGTGCTCTTGAGAGTGGTGCTGTGATGTTTTCAGCACCCTGCCATCCTCTTCCACCAGACATGATATGCCTACATTACTTAGAAGCACAAAGACCGAGTGATCATGCCGCTGGGTCTATAATATAATATGTGATGAAAACATGAAGTTTTAAGAACAGCATTACCATCTTATTACGGGTAGGGATGAAGCAGGGATGGGAACATATAGGCGGATTAAACTTCAGCTTTGAAGGTCAGCTATATACAACTTCCCCATACCAAGTATAGACCCTTGTAGATCCCTCAGACCAACAGGCAACCCAATGCAGGAGCTCTGGACTTTACCAGTCCTTGTCGCAGCCAGTGGGACTGCAGGGTACTTAACAGGTATGGCCTGATCTCCACAAGCCCTAATGGAAAAGCTGCATGTAAAGAACAAGAGTTTGGCCCGCCATATGCCATGGACCCTGCACTGGGTCATCTGTTGATCAGTACTATGTAAAAAGGGGTACACTTGGCAAGGCAGGTCCTTTAGGCTTGGGTTGGTTGAGCTATCCTACATCACTGTGAAGTCCGTCATTGGTAGAACCACCTTTTGGTTACAGCTGTAGGCCTTGGAAAGGTTTTTGGCCTACATAGCTCGACGGTGACATTTGCTACCCATTCTTTTGCTTCATCTTAGATTTCCTGGGTTTTCATTTCTTGACCCAGATTCTCAGTTGGTTTGAGGTCTAGCCTTTAGCTGGCTTTCGGGTTCTTCATATTACACCCATACACAGCTCTTGGGGTCATTGCTTTGCTAAATGGAGAACCTCTGCCTCTTCGAGATGCCTCACCCACCTTCAGATGTTTAAATACCAAAACCTAGGTGGGCACTTGGGCTCTTTCAATTGACAGAGGTGGAGCTTAGAGCCAACAAGGGTGGGACTAAATTGTGCCTTGGGCAGAAGTCAAGGCCTCATGTAGAGCAACACGACATCAGACCTGGGCATTTTACGACCCACTAGCCGTATCCGGGCCCCTGCAGCTGCCCGGCTCACCGACCTGTGCTCCGTTATGGCTGGCTGAGAGTGGATGTACCATCCTCCAAGGCCAGTGCATCGACTGCAGGTCAGTGATCGGTCTGCGTTCGAGCCGCGTTCCTCTTTGATTCAGTGGCGTTCTAGCAGCCAGTGCTGTCAGAGGTCCTCCTCCATCTCTTCTTCTGCTGTTCCGCCCGTGGACAAAACAACTTAAAATAGTATGTGTGGGGTTTGGCATGTGTAGTTTCCCACCTAGCAACCACTGACGCATGGTACCGTGCAACACACCTACCTTGCATTGTAGTGTGGCACGTGCGTTGTATGCGCTACTTTTTTCAGCCACGCTGCAATGCACCGTGTTGCAGTACCACGTGTTGCAGCACAGTCCATCACGTTGCGACCCGGAGCTGCGTTTGCAGTGGCATTTAAATAAATGGTAACGTACGGTTGGTGCATTGTGCTGTCCGTTAATCGGTTCGGCCCTCTACAGCTGTCCCAGTTTCCTTTGTGACTTCCCCCCTGGAGAAAATTGATTGCCCACCCCTGCACTGTTGATACCTTAGAACAGGGATAGACACAACGATATAAAGTTCAGGAGCAAGTCTGTTTGATTTTTTTTTTAGGTGCCAGCTCCATTGCCAAGAACTAAAGTTAGGAGACGGTTGTCATTTTCTGGAGCCTTGGCTACTTGGTTCCTTGGATTTGTCCAGCCGTGGCTTAGAAGAATTTGTGGCTAGGTCAGGATCATGTTAAAGTCGAACTAATGCCCCAATTTTTTTTTTTTAACTTTTGGAAAGAGAGTACAGGAGGGTTATATAACCCCTGTCCCAACAGTGAGATTTCCCTTCACTTCCTGTCTGAGAGCCACATCAGGATGTGAGAGGAAATCCCTGGTGGCCAACAGGTTCACCAAAAATAGTCTCCATTGGAGGTTTCCCATCTGTTCCTTAGGTTCCTGATGATGTCCCTGCTGCTTATACAATGCAGTTTATCAGTTTGCAAAGGCATTGGTGCAGACAAAGTGGATTTACATCTTTGCGGCTATTTAAATGAAAATCATTTTGCCCGGAGTTGCCAACTACCATTTACCTTCAGTTTTTGTGGGTTTTTTTCCCTTGATTGTCACCTGGTGGTCCTGCTGGTAACACACTTCCTGTGACATCCTTCACTCTCCGCACTTTATATATAGAGGAGCAATGTTGTCGCCCTAGGACAGGCTACAGAACACATTCCCTCTCCTAATCTCCATAACATGGGGGGGGGTCTGTAGTCTACAGAGAAACCTGGGAACAATGTAATTTAGACACAACTGTCAGAGTACAGGCACTGGTAGTTGACAACTTGGATTTCTGGCATGATCACCAGGTAATTTTGCACTTATTGAACAGATAATACAACTTTTGGTGGAGTAGTTAACGGACAAAGGCAGCAAAAAAAAAAAAGAGATTGATCGGCTTTACAAATGGATTAACTTTTTGTTTTCTGTTTCTGCCCTCAGCAAGATGGACACGGATCTGTTTATGGAGTGTGAGGAGGAGGAGCTGGAGCCATGGCAGAAGATCAGCGATGTGATAGAAGACTCGGTGGTCGAGGATTATGGCTACTTGGACAAGACCAGCACAGGTACCTCTCCCATCTCTGATCACACAGCGCCAGGGAATCGATGTTTATTGGTTCAGAGTTGCCACGTGCCAGGCTTGCAGTGGGAACGGCTGCCCTGTGTAAGCTGGCGGGTGTAAATGACCGGGATTTCACTGGGCTTATAGAAGGTGATAACTTGATGTTTACCAGCAGCCTGGAGAACAGGAAGGAGACTGGGCAGTAGGGGGAGTCTGCAGAAGGGTTGTTGCTGTTGTCACCCTCTCTTATACACAGCTAGGGAGTGCGGAATCCCAAGCATGTGGGAATTACTTTACTCAGGCAAAATGGTTCCTTTTATATGTGTTGTGCATTCACCTGGGGCACATTTTTAACCCTGTAGAGTGCTGTGTGACTCACTTGCCTGGATAATATAAAGAATATCAGTAGTTAAAAGCATGCAGCTTGACCAAGTCTGCAAGAGAGCGGCAAGCAAAGTCCCGATTCTAATAAAAGCAGAGGTCTCAGCTGCATATAGTTGCCATGCCTCTAAACTGTGGCTCCAATTTATGTGATGGCCAATTATTTGTGCAAACTCCAGCACAACACAACTGCCCAAGGCTCACTCACTACATGCTCTCACCTTGGCTCGGCTCAAGGCTCACTCACTACATGCTCTCACCTTGGCTCGGCTCGAGGCTCACTCACTACACGCTCTCACCTTGGCTCACTCTCTACATGCTCTCACCTTGGCTCGGCTCAAGGCTCACTCACTACATGCTCTCACCTTGGCTCAGTTCGAGGCTCACTTACTACCCACTCTCACCTTGGCTCAGCTCGAGGCTCACTACTACATACTCTCACCTTGGCACAGCTCAAGGCTCACTTACTACCCACTCTCACCTTGGCACAGCTCGAGGCTCACTTACTACCCACTCTCACCTTGGCTCAGCTCAAGGCTAACTTACTACACACTCTCGCCTTGGCACAGCTCGAGGCTCACTTACTACACACTCTCGCCTTGGCTCAGCTGGAGGACCACTACTACATATTCTCGCCTTGGCTCAGTTCGAGGCTCACTTACTACACACTCTCACCTTGGCTCAGTTCGAGGCTCACTTACTACGCACTTGCCTTGGCTCAGCTCGAGGCTCACTACTACATACTCTCACCTTGGCTCAGTTCGAGGCTCACTTACTACACACTCTCACCTTGGCTCAGCTGAAGGAACACTACTACATATTCTCGCCTTGGCTCAGCTCGAGGCTCACTTACTACACACTCTCGCCTTGGCTCAGCTCAAGGCTCACTTACGACATACTCTCGCCTTGGCTCAGCTCGAGGCTCACTTACTACATACTCTCGCCTTGGCTCAGCTCGAGGCTCACTTATTACACACTCTCACCTTGGCTCAGCGCGAGGCTCACTACTACATACTCTCACCTTGGGTCAGGCCTCCTGCTTTTGCTCCTGTTGCAATACAAGTGAAGCCATACCCCATGCTTTCTTTTGCAACCAAAGCATTAGCCACTGCTCAGTCTTAAGATGCAGCATTTCCAGGGCTCAGTGTGGCCAACATCCTGGGTGTAAGACTGGTGGCCGCTGTGCCCTCTCCTTCCCCTGGCTGCGTAACTTCTCCATTGTAGCGCAGTTTTAATGTCGGTGTTAATACTTCACACTTGTTGTAGTGGAAGAACCTGGGCATCTCACTTTGCCAACTCTCACTACCTAACTTGATTGACAGGCCAGGAGACTCCCGGTCTATCCCTCCCACCATGACATCATCTGTGACCATGGCTGCTTTGTCACACCTGCCAGAATCCCGCTCACATCGGCACCTATAGACTGCTACAATTCCCATTGCACGTCTGTGCAGTTATATTAAAACATCCAAATGATTACTTTCATGGCAACCAATTACAATTACTGATTTTAGGAAATTGATGTTTGGTTGCCATGGTTGCTGCCCTTTAGTGCAAAGATCTTGTAACATAATGTTGAGTTTTAGGCCAATGTGTGATCTGCCATCTCTCCTTTCAGTGTCCCTCAACATCCAGCCAGTCACAGCAGCCCTTCCTGTCGTCGCTCAAACGCTGGGCACCCAGTACACTACGGCCGCCACTGTGACCAACACCATCACCCAGAACACAGATAACACCAAGAAAACGTTGCTGACTTTGTTCGCCAACAACAGCGGTGAGTAGCCTTCTGGAAACCTGCAAAGTGATGAGTCCGAAGGGGATCTCTTAGGACGGGGGGGGGGGGGGCTTGTTTGCCACAGCTGAGGCCCCTGTCCAGTGCTGGAGGTGATCCTGAAGTGAAAAGCATGTTACTGAATGATGCTGTAGAGGTGTGTTTTGAATGAGAGATTATGACTGACTACAGCTTTTTTGGGGGAACTTGGCAGAAGAATGATCACTACAGCTCACAAATTTGTTGTTGAATTCCCCAGGGGACCAAGTACATGTAGCACATAGTCCCTTCTGATCCGTGGCTATGTTGTGCAAGGAAAGCACATTTTTGTGCTGGCTGTCACCTCCACCCCATGCTGAAGCCCAATTTATTCCCCGTTCCTATAAGGAAGCTACAGCACAACTCTGTAACCACCTCCCACCCTCTCTTCTCTGTGTACTATCTAGTGGGTTGTGTTGTGATCAAAGTTGACCCCCTTCCTCTCCTGTGATGAGTGATAGCACCGTGGCTACTGGCTCCTTTCCTCCCCATGTATCAACGGATGGTCCACACTGACCCCTCCCACTCTAGTGAAAGCGCACTTCTGCTGTCAGAGACCAGCATTGTCACTCAGACCTTATTGGATATTCATCTCATCAGTGTGGTCGAACGCGCGCGGGGGGGCTGCGTGCTGTTGACCACGCTAGCTCAGTAACCACAGCATGGATGAGAGCTGGACCAAGTGCTAAATGCGTTAGGTCCCCTGGGGATTCCACTACAAATTTGAGGTTGTGGTCATGCTTCTTTAATTAGTTTAAATTAACATCCTGCAATCTGGAAGTACCTATGGTAATTCTCCTTTGATGTACACTGTAGATGGCTTCAACCTCTGCCCAAGATGAGAGTAAGTGTCCACCCCCCTATGTGCCAGTGCTCATAATGGTCATTAAAGAAGATGTAAGCGCGATCACTAAACCTCTTTAACATGATTGTTGTTTTAAAAGTAATTTTCAATCTTCATAAATCTAGAGATCTCATTAAAACAATCTCTGGTGAGCCTGCCATGACGTTAGAAACGGGTTTTGTTCCTACCTGGAGATCCGACTGATTATAATCACCCTCCTTGTATTTGCACAATTGCTTATGTGGTCCGATCCGTGACCATATTGATTCGTACAAAGAAAAAGGATTAACTCGTCACAGAATAACGGGTTAGCAGTGGTCAATTCAGGGATCCGGACAAGCCAGTTAGTTGCATGAAAAAAATAATTTTATTGAAAAAGACATATAAGATAACACATTTGACTAATTATCCCACCATAAAAAAGTTAAAAAATACAGACAATCATAAATTTGATGTGGATCGATCCTCATTTGTATTCAACATTAATTTCACCGTAAGGGGTAAATAACCGATGCAATTTCAGCGTCGCTACTTATCCCTTCGTGGAATAGCCCATACACATACCGACTAGCCTAGGCTGTATGGACTAAAAACGTATCCCAGGGATCGGGCAATCAAAAGGAAAGATTTTCTTATAATTTCATTTTGTGAATGGAAAGAAAGGATCAAAGCAGATCTGAGATGGTAACCTTGGCTTCATCCGCTTACAATGAAATGATATAATGTACTCAGACGGTGGTACTTGTTGATTAGGTTAATCCTATGCAGCCATCTTCTAGTTTGATGGAATATATTTTCGGTTTGCTTTCAATTCTTTTCCTTCTATCAATTTGTTTTTCTTTAAAGATTCCTTTGATTAGATGTTTAGCTGTGAGGTTAAGTCTTCCTTGATTTGGTATTGGCTTGAATCTAGCCGTGTGTGCAATTAACCCCTTCCTCCTCCTTAGCCTTGGAATATCGTAGTGGGAACGCCGAAATATAATCGAATTATCTGCTCAGACCGGGGGGTTCCCATGGACAGACTATGACAGGACTATCTTCAATGTAGCGCCTGACTTTAACCTTCTCTCTCTCAGTGGTATTTGAATTTTGAGTGTAGAGGGTGTAAGACTTCACTTCAGAGTGGTATTCAGACACCGTCCTTAACGGACATAAATAAAGGATTTTTTGTCACTCACGTTTACTGAAGTTTTCTTATAGTCCGGGCGATTTGAAGATTTTTTCCTTCCTGTGGGGTCCAGTAGTCCATTTACATGTGTAGATGCCTTGTTATTTCCTCCAGGGGATGATTGTTGCTATCTAATCCCAGATAATAGATCTGAGGGATATTTCCACTTAATGGGTCTTTGGATCGTCTCCTAGATGTTCTAGGTATAGTCTGTCCGTCGCTGAGAACCCCGATTGAAAATATAGCAGAGTTCCCTGGCATCAGGATCGTACATCCACTTGTGGCATGATAGTTATATGTCTGGTCGCTGTCTGTCGACGCGTTTCGCCGCTCCTACAATGCGGGGATTCGTCAGGACGTACTCTGAGGTTGGGGGAACTGCTTTTTAAACAGTTAGGTCACGCCTCTTTCTTCCTTTTTAATCATTAGTTTAGATTGTGAAGGATAATTCCCCTTCCTTCAGGTGGAAAACCATTTACTGGTTTCATTGGACAACATACGATTAAAATTTGCATATATGGAGAGTGTTTCCCACACGGCCCTGCATATACAAAGATTTCTCTCTTTTGATTACATCCTATCATATGACGACATGTACATACTTGTCAGGGCAGCTTAACCACCTATATGTGGATTAATTTCAGAAGTATGTGGATCTATCGGTATATTAGGTTGAACATACTATCTTATAAAAAGACGTTAAGATTGCATTCGTTGTTTAACCCTATAGGTAACATCGTGTTTAATCGGTAGATCCACATCTTCTCCCGCTGTTGGAGAATCTTATCAAAATCTCCTCTGCGGGGCGAAATGTTTAATACAAGGTTACCAAGGTTACCATCTCAGATCTGCTTTGATCCTTTCTTTCCATTCACAAAATGAAACTATAAGAAAATCTTTCCTTTTGATTGCCCGATCCCTGGGATACGTTTTTAGTCCATACAGCCTAGGCTAGTCGGTATGTGTATGGGCTATTCCACGAAGGGATAAGTAGCGACGCTGAAATTGCATCGGTTATTTACCCCTTACGGTGAAATTAATGTTGAATACAAATGAGGATCGATCCACATCAAATTTATGATTGTCTGTATTTTTTAACTTTTTTACGGTGGAATAGTTAGTCAAATGTGTTATCTTATATGTCTTTTTCAATAAAATTATTTTTTTCATGCAACTAACTGGCTTGCCCGGATCCCTGAATTGACCACTGCTAACCCGTTATTCTGTGACGAGTTAATCCTTTTTCTTTGTACGAGCCTGCCATGAAGCTTGTTGTTCAGGCACTTCCTGTTATAGGGTGACCGCTCTCCCAGTACCCACTACCTGTCTGTAACAACACACATTACACAGGCATGATCCATTGTTGTCACCATCAGGTAACCCAGCCTAAAAAGTAGGGGCGCATCGATATCGGTGCCGATTCCGAGTATTTGGGCGAGTACTCGCCAAATGCTCTGATACCGGAACTTCCGGTCAGAGGAGCCAGCTTCCTTTCCAATCAGGAAGCCAGGAGGTGGGTTATGACTCGCCTCCCGGTTTCCTGATTGGCCAGGTAGCCAGGCTGCCTAGGAACAAGTGAAGTTGGCTTACTAGCCAATCGGGGAGGCGGGTCGTGACATGCCGCACGGCTTCCTGATTGGCTAGGAAGTCAGCTTCACTTGTTGATAATCAATCAGGAAGCCTAAACGGTCAGGAAGCCAGGTGTTCTTTCACTAGAACACAGGCTATCGGGAAGCCGGGCGACGGGTCATGATCGGCCGCTTGACTTCCTGATAATCATGGTACCGGTACTCTGTATCGGCGAGTACCGAAAACAAAATATCGGTATTCCTACTCGATACCAAAAAACAGTATCCGTGCATCCCTACTAAAAAGTGCCATACAGTCATCACTGGAGTGTAGGCAGGAAGTGACTGCAGGAGAATGATTGTATAGGTCACAATGAAATCCTTGTATATGTAAAAAGAAAATTTGTACTGGTTGGAATTAATAATGAAGTTAGAGGAGCTATGTAGGAAGAAACCCTCTCTGTTTTCTCTTTGATAGGTTCAACGCCAATCGTGCAGTCCAACAGCCAGCCTCTCATCCTGACCCAGAATACCACACCTGGCATTGGCACTATGATGACCCAGCCCATGCTGCGACCCATGCAAGTCATGCAGAACGCCAACCACGCCACCAACAATTCAGTGACGGCACAGCCCATCTTCATAACGGCACAGGTGGGGGAAGAGATGGCGGCTTTTATCGCGGCTTTAGGTTTTGTTTAGTGGCTCTTTATACGTCACTTTAAAATGTTAACATAAAGCTTTACCTAGGCCTCAAATACTTGCGCCTCTCAGAGAAAATGCTGCTTCTGGCTCCCTCCACTACTTCTCACATGCCTAGTAACTTGCCTCATGACAGGTCTCCATTAATCTCACTCTCCATTGGTTTCTTTTTCTTGCAGGGTTTTCCAGTCAGGAACGTCCGACCGGTGCAGAACACGGTAAACACAATGAACCAGGTGGGGACAATGAACCAGGTGGGGATCGTCCTGAACGTTCAGCAGGGACAGACAGTCAGGCCCATCACGATCGTACCAGGTAAGAATATTGTAAGGAACACGCATACCTAGACAGAAACGCATGCGCCAGGAGAGGCTCATCGTAAATCATGCTACTGGTTTTTTTTTTTACCCCCAGCCCCAGGAACTCAGTTCATGAAACAAGGAATGGGCGTCCCCCAGGTCTTCTCACAAATGACCCAAGTCCGACCAGCATCCACAGTCCAGCGTCCAGCTACCAACACTTATACCACAGTCATCCCGGCCACTCTGACAATAAGGAGCCCGGTGTCTCAGTCTCAAACGCAGGTCAGCAAGACGATCTCCAGCACATCGACCACACTGGCGCCCAGCCAGCCCATCCGTCAGATCACAATGCAGCAGCCGATGCAGACGCTGACCATCCCACAGAACCAGAATAATCCCATCACCAATCCTAAACTAGGTAAGGAGAAAACAAAACTATAAGTCACCTGACTGATTTATGTGCAAAGAGAGTAGGGATGCACCGATACCGTCTTTTCGGTATTGATTATGAGTTCTGATATTTTGCTTTCGGTACTCGCTGATACCGATGGGTTTGCTGGCATGGAGCCGGCTTCCTGGGCAGTCAGGAAGCCGGGTGGCATAGAATGACATGCTGCCCGGTTTCCTGATTGGCCGGGAAGCCAGCTCCATGTTGTTTGGCCGGCTCAATTTGTAATGGGTTGAGAAACCGGCTTCCCGGCCCATCAGGAAGCCAAGCGGCGAGTAACGACCCATCTCCCGGCGTAACGACCCATCTCCCGGCTTCCTGATTTGCCGGGAAGCTGGCTCCATGCTGGGAGGCTGTTGCGCCGGCTCGTTGGCCAGGAAGCCGGCTTCCCAGCCAATCAGGAGGCGGGTTATTACTTCCCACCCGGCTTTCTGATTGCCCAGGAAGCCGGCTTCATGTTCTCCTGTGCCACTGCCGGTCAGACAAAATTGTCCTCTGACCGGAAGTTCCCGTATCGGGGAAGGTATCGGCGCATTTGGGAAAGTATGAGTACTCACCCAAATACTTGGTATCGGTGCATCCCTAATAGAGAGGACGGGCTGGGAAACCGAAAGCAGTGCTTGCCGAGGGGAACCTACAGACAGATCTTTATCCTTAAGAGTTTATCATGGTGGGAGTTCAGGGCACAGATCGGCTCCTGCACGCCAGGAAACAAATCTGCAAGTTCATCGATGGCACATTCAGCCTTTGTCTGATTTTTGTCTGCAAACCTTTATGGGGGGGGGGGACTCTAGCAGCACACCTCCTTTACTTCCTGGCTTGCTTGTCCCCCTTTTGTGTGCAGACTGCCATTTCTGCAAACACAGCATTCCAAGCTCTGTGTCAGCATCTTCCTGCTAAAGGTTGGCTATGCTGCCTTTCAGGGTTCCCCTGGAGCCCCTACGCAGCCAGCTTTGTATATGTTCTGTGGGCCAGAACTAGTGCTGACACTCCTTGGCAGACAGCTGACTAGCACTGCATTCCAAGCTCCTCCTCCTGGTTTTGATTGACAGCTGCTACTATGCCTTCTACAGAAACATTACCCTGAGATTCCGGTGATGTGATCAGTGCACGTTCTCTATCAGAGGTTTGAGGGCGTGAGCAATGAGCATTGGAAACATCTATGGGGGAATCTATGAAAACTGGAGCAGAACAAATCTGGAGCACAGCAACCAATCAGCTTCTCTTCAGTTTGTTCAGATAAGATTTGAAAATGAAAGAGAGAAGCTGATTGGTTGCCATGCACAGCTGCTCCAGATTTTGCAGTGTACTGGAAGTGCGTGCTGTGGATCATTTAACCTGGTACACACTTCCAGTACACTGCAGTAATAGAGATACAATTCTACCCTGCTAACATGAATAGGTTAATTCGTGATCCATATTACATAATAGTACATAACATGTAGTTGTACTATGGATCATGATTTAACCTATCCATGTTAGCAGGACAGAATTTTAACTCTATTGCTGTATTGTTTTCTATATGTAGTACATAGATACAGTACACATTCCCAATACACTGCAGCAATAGATTTACAATTCTGTCCTGCTAACATGAATAGGTTAAATGATCAATAGTGCAACTACATGTTCTGTACTATGGATCATGATTTAACCTATTCATGTTAGCAGTGGAGAATTGTAAATCTATTGCTGGAGTGTAGTGGAGGTGTGTGCTGTATATATGTACTACATATACAGTACACTGTAGCAATAGATTTACAGCCAGCCCTGTCCCAGCTTCCCTCACTCAGTTTCACTTCGATCCCTTATGGAATAGGAAAATGTAAAATCTGCGCTTGTGGGCGAGTACAGTTTAGAAGCTGCTGCGCTATGGACCCTAGGGTCGAACTGATGAGGTGCTAAATGTGCAGCGCTAAAGGGTGATATTTAAGTGAAAAATCCTTAAAATCAAGTGTAATCAATATCTCAAAGAAATGTAAAATATTATAGTGAAATGATCAAATAAACGAACATATATAATAAAACAGTATGTGATAGGCTCTATATGGCCCCAGTGTAAACAATAAAATCACTCTACATATAGAGTACACTGCAGCAATAGATTTACAATTATCCTCAGCTAACATGAATAGGTTAAATGATCCCTAGAACATAATGGTACATAACATGTAGTTGTACTATGGATCATTTAACCTATTAATATTAGCCGAGGATCATTGTAAATCTATTGCCTGCAGTGTATTGGGAATGTGTACTGTATATGTACTACATATACAGTACACTGCAGCAATAGATTTACAATTATCCTCCGCTAACATGAATGGGTGAAATGATCCATAGTATAGGGCTACATAGGGATCATTTAACCCATTCATATTAGCAGGGGATAATTGTAGATCTATTGCTGCAGTGTACTCTATATGTAGTACATATACAGTACACATTCCCAATACACTGCAGGCAATAGATTCTTCGTGTTCCACTTCACCCCAGGCCCTCACTTACTGTTCGATGATGGCTGGTGCCTTGCAGGGGAGGTCTTAGTCGGCGCTGTGCGGGAGAGCAGAGGTACATCAGTGATGGTCCGGTGGGAGGAGCTCCAGGTGGGGTCTTTATTTAGCTGGCCGGCGACTGCCAAGAGGTGTCGGGGTCCTCTGTGCAGTCGCCGACCACCTAAATTAAGACCCCCATCTGGAGTTCCTCCCACCGGACCAGCGCTGACTCGCCGCTGCTCTCCCGCACAGCAGCTTGAAGGTAAAGTTTTAGAAAAATAGCGCAAGCAACGCCGCTTTGTATCGGGGCATTTTGACAAGTACTAGTCAAAATGCCCTGTATCGGGACATCCCTAGTTATGAGGGTAAATACTACAGCTTGCGTCTAAGTGCAATGGTCACTGAGTACAGCTACCGGGGTGCCCACTCATGAAATGTCTCCCTTGTTATTCCGCACAGTGAGCATTGCCAGCTTTGTGGCTGTGAAGAGCACCGGTGAGACCAACGACATGGTAAAGTTCGTCAATGCTATGAGCGGCAGCCAGACCACCACCCATAATTCCACCCAGCTCATCTTCTCCAGTACCGTGGGCAAAACCGGCACAAGCCCCAGCTTGGGCACAGTGCAGAAGGACATCCAGATCGAGCCCCTCGGGGTGACAGGTAGGTCTGTGTGTAAGATATTATAGGCTGCCTTAGGTCCAAGCGGGCCTGCTGAGAAACCTGTGACCTTTTTTGTCTTTCTTTCTCTCTCTGTCTTTCAATCACAGCAGCATCCCCTTCTGTGACCCCGATGAAAAGCTTGGATAATGTCAGAAGGAACTGCCCAAGATGTCACACTTCCTTCCGCATTGTGGAAGCCCTTCGAGGGCATATGTGTGTAAGTCCAGCACTGTCCCTCCTGAATGCCTGTCATTTTGGGTTTTTTATCCCCCAATGGGGGACTTTTCATTCAAAGTAGGAATGCACCGATACTAGTATCTGTGCCGATACCGAGTATTTAGGCGGGTACTCGTACTCGCACAAATGCTCCCATACCTTTCCCAATACCGGAACTTCCGTAAGATTGCCTTCGACCAGCAGTAGGGGAACATAGAGCCAGCTTCCCGTGCGATCAAGAAGCTGGGCTGCGAGTTGTGAGCCGGCTTCCCGGCCAATCAGCATGGAGCCGGCCGAACAGCCGACTCCTTGCTGATTGGTCGGGAAGGTGGCCAGTCTGGTGGCGTGTCATTACTCGCTGCCCAGCTTCCTGATTGCCAGAGGAAGATTGCCTCTGACTGGCAGTGCCATAGGGCAACATAGAGCCAGCTTGCCGTGCAATCAGGAAGCTGGGCGGCGAGTAATGAGCTGACTTCCTGATTGGCTGGGAAGCCGGCTTGATGCTGATTGGCTGAGAAGCAGCTTTCCCAACCAATCACAATCAAGCCGACCAAACAACATGGAGGCAGTCTGAAGATGGGCAGCATGTCATTACCCATTGCCCGGCTTCCTGATTACACGGGAAGCCGACTCTATGCCAGCGGAAGCACTGGTATCGGTACTTAGTATCGGCCAGTACCGAAAGCAAAATATCAGTACTAGATACCGAAAAACTGGTATCGGTGCATTGCTAATTCAAAGCATTTGGCACATGGTTGTGGTGTGATCCCATTGACTTCAGTGGGTATGCCTGGCACAACCTGCCAAACATGACATACCGAGACGAAATGTATGTGCACCTTAGCGGCTGCCATGTTAATTTGTATGAGAACATGGCCTAGAAGTGACTACCGAAGTCAGCGCCGGTGTTGTCTCCTCTCCCTCTCTATTTGGACACATGGTTATCTTTTATTGGCTCTGGGGCTCTGACAGAATGATCACAGACTTCATCTATCTCATTCTCCTTGTTTAGTACTGCTGCCCCGACCTCGTGGACTTCTCTAAAAAGGGCACCTTGGAATCTCAGATGGTTCCGCAAGGGACGAACTCCTCCACCCCAGACAAGCCTGCGACCGCCACAACTCCCGGCGGCATGACCTCTCAATCCGGCAAGACCCAGGAGAATGCCGCGGATGACCCCATGCAGGGCAAGCTCATCATGCTGGTGGACGACTTCTACTACGGCCGGGACGTCGGTCAGACTTACCAGATGCAAGGCATGCCCAAAATGGCCACGACCTTCCGCTGTCCACACTGCAACAAGAGACTAAAGAACAACATCAGGTAGGCACAACAAATGCCTAGATCACACGCAACATCCATATTGTTAGCGCCTTGCCTTTGGCATACGTTGGTGCTTTTTTTACTGGTTTGACAGCACAGTTCTCATCGATTTAGTTGTTTGCTGCCCTTGTATAAAACATCTAAACCCTTTGTGAAAACAAATTGAAGCACAAAACCCTCTTCTTCCTAGTGCAAATGTGCACCTTCCCCCCCACCCCGGAAAAAGGGACTGCCTTCGCAGGTTGTCCCCAGCAGAGAAAAGAGCTAGTCTAGGGACTTAAATGAAGAGCTATAAGATTGCACATTCCCAGTATCCTTTAACTGCGGGTTGAGACAAGGACTGGGGCCGAGTCCATGAGCTGTGAGACTGGGCATCCTTGGCTCCCCTTTAACTGTGCAGGTAGAGACAAGGACTGGGGCTGAGTCCATGAGCTGTGAGACTGGGCATCCTTGGCTCCCCTTTAACTGTGCAGGTAGAGACAAGGACTGGGGCTGAGTCCATGAGCTGTGAGACTGGGCATCCTTGGCTCCCCTTTAACTGTGCAGGTAGAGACAAGGACTGGGGCTGAGTCCATGAGCTGTGAGACTGGGCATCCTTGGCTCCCCTTTAACTGTGCAGGTAGAGACAAGGACTGGGGCTGAGTCCATGAGCTTTGAGACTGGGCATCCTTGGCTCCCCTTTAACTGTGCAGGTAGAGACAAGGACTGGGGCTGAGTCCATGAGCTTTGAGACTGGGCATCCTTGGCTCCCCTTTAACTGTGCAGGTAGAGACAAGGACTGGGACTGAGACCATGAGCTGTGAGACTAGGCATCTCTGGCTCCCTTTTAGCTGTGTGGTTGTATCCCTGGTCCGTAGCACTCATGTACGGGTGGCTACAGCCAGGGTTCCAGGGGGACCTCGCAAAGCATTGTAGTCACCCCCATAGGAGGAAGTGTAGTGGGCAATATTTTCATGTAAATCTTCTGCAGCATGGAGGTACTTGCTGTTTTTAAAAGTGGTGTTCTTCATAGGGATAGTTATTGGAGTTGAATATTCTGATCCAGGGAATGGTGCCTAGTGAAGGGTGGGAGCGGGTTTCTCCTTTTTCAGCTGAACTCCATCCTTACCTTTTTTTGGTCCCCTACACTTGTAGCAAGTCCTCTCCTGTGTTGAATCAGGTTACTCTCCATTCACTGCAAATGTACATCGCCGCGATATGACCCTTTAAAGCTGCAGCAGCTATATCGAGCCCACCTTTTCCTATCTGATCTTCAATCATTATCAGTCTCCTCTCCTCCTGATCCATCCTGTCATTGACCCGCCTCCCACAGTTATTAGCTGCTCTGCCATCAATCATTTTGTCACTGACCATTATATAAAAGAACACATCCCCAGCATTCCTTTAGACCAGTGGTTCTCAACCTGTGTAACCTCGGGACCCACATTTGTCCTTGGTCATTAAGTTGCGACCCAAGTCTGCAATGTCTGCACTGCAATGGAACACACGTTATTAGGGTGCTGCGCGTTCTGGTGCGGCCGTACGAACTGTGGGTGGGAAGTGTGTTTGGTGTACTATTCAAATGAATGCAACGCCCTGGGCAGTATATTTTGAATGGCTGCTTGGCACAAGAACCGACACTGCTGCGCTAGGGGGAGGCAGAAGAGCCTCTCGCTTATGAAAGTGGAAGGCATGCGGTGGACCCACTTAACATGGGGTCGCGACCCACTTTTGGGTCACGACCCACCAGTTGAGAACCAAGGCTTTAGACTATATAACCTACTTATATGCATACGTTACACTTCAGCTTTAAGGCGACAGGTTAAATTCTAACCCTATAAGTAACCAGAATTCCGTTTACTTTCCCGAAGGTTCATGAATCACATGAAGCACCACGTGGAGCTGGACCAGCAGAACGGAGAGGTGGATGGGCACACCACGTGCCAGCACTGCTATCGCCAGTTCTCAACGCCCTTCCAGCTGCAGTGCCATCTGGAAAACGTGCACAGCTCCTATGAGTCCACCAGTGAGTAACAAGCGCGACCGCCTGAACATCAACCGCTCCATCTTGTTGGGGTTGGTTGCAGATTGCAGCGGAGTCGTCCTGCTGCTGATTGAGTCACTGACGTTTTCATTTTTTTTTTGTTTTTGCAGCAAAGTGCAAGATTTGTGAATGGGCCTTTGACAGCGAACCCCTGTTCTTGCAACATATGAAGGACACTCACAAACCGGGGGAGATGCCCTATGTGTGCCAGGTCAGTCTGTGTGCTTGGAAGGAACGTGGATCTCCAGCCAAAACCTTGTTTTAGATACAGTAGAGAAGGAGTAAAACCCGTGAGATTAAAGTTCAACTCCGGGCACAATAGACTTCAAAACCTTGAAACGTGTTGGCTGCATTCAGGCCTGCTGTCGGAGGGACCCCGGTGCAGCGGCATACAGGGGCTCCATGATCTCTAAAATATGGATCAGCAAGGCACAACCATTATACAGCAGAGGCTGCATATTCAATGAGCAATCATGGCTGCTCTCGTGTGCACATATACTCATGTAATATACATAGAAACATGCTTTATAGAACATGCTGATATTTGCAGTTGGCTTGTTTCTATCAAAAATGTATCTAAAGCAATGAATTCTGTAATTTCCTCCTGACATTCTTCTCCCGTTCCTCTCCTCGTGTCTTCCAGGTTTGTTCATACCGCTCCTCCATCTACGCAGAGGTGGACACTCACTTCCGGCTTAACCACGAAGATACTCGGTACCTCCTGTGCGTCTACTGTCTGAAGGTGTTCAAAAACGGCAACGCCTTCCAGCAGCACTTCATGCGCCATCAGGTAAGAGGCCCTGTCTGTGTGTTCTGGTGGCAGAGCCTGCGGGAAAGTCTGAAGTCTTTTTTTTTTTTATGTTAAATGGGATTTTGTCAGAATTGCCGTTGTGTTTAAAATTCCCCAGTTCTATCAATCACAAAACTGCCTATTGCGGGGCACAGGAAATCTTGCACGGCTGGGTTATACTGCCCCCTACAGGAGGATTGGAACTGCAAACCCAGGATAACGTCTACTCTCGGCGTGCCTTTTTTTTTTTCAATTAAGATTCCTGCTACAGCACTGCTGAGCTGCTCTCTATATGCTGCTCTCTGCTGCATCCCCAGCAGGAGCTTCCCTGTCGTAGGAAACTGACTGTCGCACCCCCAGCTTCCCTGTCGTAGGAAACTGACTGTCGCACCCCCAGCTTCCCTGTCGTAGGAAACTGACTGTCGCACCCCCAGCTTCCCTGTCGTAGGAAACTGACTGTCGCACCCCCAGCTTCCCTGTCGTAGGAAACTGACTGTCGCACCCCCAGCTTCCCTGTCGTAGGAAACTGACTGTCGCACCCCCAGCTTCCCTGTCGTAGGAAACTGACTGTCGCACCCCCAGCTTCCCTGTCGTAGGAAACTGACTGTCGCACCCCC